CTTCTGCTACTTGTTTTTTTTTTTCAATATTTACACGTCTTTTTAACTTTGTAACGTGAATTCAATGTTGTTATGGTTTGATTGCACTGTATAATTGGTTGTACATTATTTATGTCTTCAGAGCATACAAAAACAAGGTCAAGCACATTTATCCCCTTGTAGTAATTTTGATTATTTGGTTAAGGTTGAAAATCTCTTCAAAATCTAGAATCACCAAGTGTTGTTTCTCATCTCTGGTAGCATTTACTTGTCATTTGATTTTCATTGTTCAGTTAAGAAGAAATTAAAATTGCTCAGTATAATAATGCTACGGATTCTCATTGTTGTCTTGATGTAATTAACTAACAGTATTTAAACTTTCATAAAAGAAAAAACCTGTTGAGTCAGATGGTCATGACAACATTTAATTCTCATTTCTCTGATCATTACTCCATTTCTTATTTCAGTATATTATATACTAGAAGTACCTCCTGTGCTTCTAGCATCTCTGCCTTTCCTTAATATTATCTCAAGTCATTAATTTTTCTTTCTTCAGTTTGAGTGAATATTTCTCTTTTTTGTATTTCCAATATTTTTAAGTGCATTTGCTTCATTTGGTTTGCTTGTAGTATACCAGAGCGTTCCATGTGTTTTTTTTTTTTTTTTTTTTTGTGGTTTTCTCTTACTTTATTTGTTTAACTGTTTTTTTGTTTTTTGTTTTGTTTTTTCTCGCTGTTAATCTAGGTCAGGGCTATCCATATTCCTTTTAGCTTTTCCATTTTGTCATGTTTGTTGCTCTCATCTACCTTTTTTTTTTATCTAGGTTAATCTTAATTGGCATTGGTCTTAAGGTTTCTTAAAATTGTCTACTTGCTATGATATTTTTTTTATTTTTCATGCCCTGTCATTTTCTATTTTTCAAGATTACTCAATTCCTATTCTCCTATAGTTTAGATGAAAATTCTTGGTTACAAATCTGTTATTTCATTTCTTATTTTACCTTTTTATCTTTTGGTTTCTGGTGTTTTTAGTACAGCTGAAGTCATTGGCTTTTTCTAATTTATTGGTCAGAAAAGTTTTTTGTTTTCTTCTGGGTGGCATAACGTAACTGCCTGGCCATTTTGCTTAAAAGTCTGCTCCTTCACTTGTTTTTCATTTCTCATAGTCGTCTCTACATTTTTTGTTTTCTGGCGAGATTCATTGTATTTTAGGGAATTTGTATATTCATTCTTTTTTAGTTTCACAGTCCACATCTCATCTTTAGTTGTCTTTTTCTATCTCATTGAACTCTGAATAGAAAAAATTATTGATATACATAGGTTAATTTGATAAGACTTACTGAAAAGGATTGTAAATGACTACCAGTGATGAGTTGTTTTGTTTTAAAATGGCTATAAGTTAGATTCACATTTAAGCTAAAATATCGTCTGTAATTTATCAAAAATATATCTGTCTTTTTGAATGGTGATTTTATTACAATATATATTTTTTCTTTAAGTGTCTCCTTTTGTATGTGATGGTTCTCTGTCTTACTAAAAGAATACGGTTTTGAAAACCAAGAATAACCACTGTATTTTGAGGTTCTTTTCAATACTGTTATATGTCACCTTTATTGATAAAGTCATCCCATTGCTGCATGGTGCGTGAACTGTCCAATGGAGTTTTGTTTTGAATTTTGTTTACACGTAGATAGCCTCACTAGTGTTCAGTCACCAAGGAATCAATGAGTAGGCCCAATGTGATATCCCAGTTCTGTAACTTTATTGGAAAATGTTTTTTTCTAATATTATTTGTATTGATACTTTTGTAATCAGCAGAAGAGAAAACAGATGAGATAGGTCGGACTAGCAGTTGACTTCTTGGTGACTAAGCTCTTATTGTAAATAGAATTAATAACATAGAAATCACAGTGGATATGGCATGTACATTCATGCTATCTCAGGTGGCAGTTGGTATATTTAAAGCCATCTTTATATCTATGTATATATATATATATATCTTCTCTTTATCATTACCATTACCATTACCATTACAATTACAATTACATGACATTTACCATTACCATTATCATCATCCAGTACCCTTGTAGTTATTGATATGATATGTATCACTCTTAACCTGTTGGATCAGGGTATCTAGTGGACTAAAATCTGGGCAGTGGCTTACTTGAGTAATGATTTTAGGAGTGTGGCTTGTAGGCCTGGCCCACATGCAGTCATTTGTTGTGTCAAGATTCCTTGCCTCCTCTTTGCAATGTTGTTTTCAGCATGTGTTATTTGCCAGTTTGCCCTGGTTTGGTAGTCTACAATTCTGTGCAGTAACATTAGTAATGAGTATCCGTATTATTTGTTTGATTTTCTAAGATCTACGTATAATTAAATTTTCTGTAACACACACTGAGCTGCTTGTCATGGTAGGCAGGATAGGACCTTGAGCAGAGAAACAGTGTCCTCCCTGAAGCTGGGAGTCTTCCAGCCATGGCTCATGGAAGGTACATTCCACCTGCATTCACAGGTGGAGA